CATGTTGTCGAACACTTGCCTGTGGGCATCAATGCGGAGGGATTGCTGGTGAGACCAAATGCTTACCATGTTTAATCTGCGCTAGTGAAGGTACGTTTTTCACGTCAAGCTATGCACTCTTTATTTCAATAATGACTAAGATTGGATCAAAGCATTTCTTTAGGGACAGCACAGGACGGTGATGACGTTTGCGTGGTGTGTTTTACGGATCGTTTATGTGCTGCACCATGTGTGCAGCTTGGTTGTGGTCATGTGCTTCATTATCACTGCGTCCGAGCAGTTTTAGAGAAACGTTGGCCTGGTCCAAGAATACAATTCCGCTTCATGAATTGTCCACTATGCAATGTGCCGGTTAGTTGCGATCACAAACTTTGAGCTTCAAAGGCGATGGGACAAGTTGTTGATTTGTGGTGTCACTCCTACTATCATCATAGATAAATGCGAATATAAAGATAAATGCGAGTGTAAGCCACTTTTATGTGATAAAGTTAGCAAAAAAATATAGACCATTTCGGCTACCTGGAGAGTTATGACAAGCTCATTGCATCGGTAGGATGCTATTTCGCCTGAACTTCGCTTAAGTAAAGGGTTTCGATCGGCGTTTGATGACTACGACTAAGCGAAAGATTGCAAAGAAGGAATGATCTGAAGAAAGTTAAATTGATGAACATGAACTTGTCGACGCTTCCTAGTCGCTTCGAAGGAAGAGTGCTCGCTTTGAAGCTGGAGTTTTATTTTTCTCTGATTGAAATATTGCTGTGTCTCCTTCAGATTTCACATCCTGGTCTTGACGATCTTCTTGATCCGCTATTGGCGTTGAAGTCTGATGTAATAACCAAGGCAAAGATGCGTTTGGAGTTTGATGGACTGATGGGATGCACAGCTCTCACTGATCCGCAGAGGTAAATAGTCGTGAATTAAATCACTATTTTGTGTATTTGACTAAACACACCATTTGTTATGGCTTGCATTTAGCGAGTATTTCGGAAAGCCAGAAGAGTATGCTATGGAC